TTGGGCTGTAATGTTGACCCCATATTAGTCAACCCCAGTTTTTTTAAAGGGGGTGTCCCTGGGCTTAGTGGGGAATCATCACTTTTGGAGGGAACCACCCTATTAATGAAGTGGGGTAGACAATCGTGGGGTCAACATATTCTTTGGGGTCTGTTCTTTTCGGCAAGGAATAGGGTGGGGACCAGGGACTTCTTGGATTCGTTGGCTGTTTCAGTGTCGGCTGGCTGGCTTGGTCCATGCCAATGAGCAAGACAGCGTCTGGTTGTATGACAAAGGGCCGCGAAACTACGGCTCTAAGCTGGTCGCACATCACATGTTCTTAAAGTGCAAACAGTGCATGGGATTTTCAGGCTCATTTAAAACGGTTTCTGCAAAGCATCCCCCAAAACAGCATACCCCTCGGTCCCATCAGGCTTGTCCGCCTACAACAATGATGCACTACTTGGTGTAAGCTTTCACCACCCCTACATATGCAGCACACAACAATAGCAACGAGTGGCGAGCGCTGGCGATTTTCTGTCTTGCGAGACAAGTTGTGCCGAATGAAGGCTGAAATCACGCCAAAGCACAAGCCCTCTCTGTGCTACAGAACAAGGTTGTGCTGATAGCCACCGCAACATCACTATCCAATGCCAGGTGCCTCTACGCAATTGGGATCATCAGGAGACGCCTCTAAGCAAGGGGGTACTATCATCAGGCATTTCGGTTTAACCCAGCCCGGCTCCAAAAGCAACAAACTCAGGCAACACCAACCCCAGCATGCGAGATCAAACAACTGCATTGCTGCGTACAAGCTTCTAAGCAGCAACCGCAGAGGAGAGCCGACGAGGAAAACAGAAAGCCCAATTGCCAGCAACAAAACATATTTGCGCCAAAGAAACCGCCCGACAACATTATTTTTGACTTGTGTGGCATACAAACAACACGCAGCCCTTTGCTCTTCCGTGCTCCCTTTCCTGTTGAGTATTCACTCTTCTTCAGCTCCCTGATAGCCCTTGCAAACCGTTTGGATAACTTAAGGTTGTAACAATCGCTAGCCTGTGACAGGGATCCTTACATTATACACCTGAACATTGCCTTGTAATTGGTGGTGTCCCTTTATGTTGCTGGAAAAAGCCATGTTTCAAATGGAAAATTAAGGAGCCCTGTGTGAATTGTGTGGCCATGTTGAAATCGTGAAACACGACACACGGCCGCCAGAACCAAAGCGCACGCTCACAAATCCAAATCACACCCCCGGCACTAAACTGGACATCTGTAGATCTCAAGAAGCAACGGGCCATAATTACTGGTGATATTCGCCTGCCGGCTCTCCAATACGGGATCATACCATTCTGCCTCAGCTCAGACCCAGATTCTTCAAGCCATCAGTTGGCGCAGACAGTGCGCCCAAATCTTGCAGCCACGACAGCTCACTTCGTCCCATTGGTGGTAAAGCGCGCCTTGTTCTCGCGCTCCACGTGCTTCCGCAGCTCAGTATAGTCTTGAAAACCCAGCTGCTTCTGGACGGTCGCTTTCCACATCTCATGCAAGCGGTTGGTCACGTGCGCCGGCAGCGCCTTGGATTCCCCAGTCTTGCCGCCGCCCTTGCGGACTTTGCCGACCTTGAACTGGGCACTCTCCGGCATGTGGGAGCGCTCCTTCACCGCGGCCCACAGGATGTGATCATCAAAGAACCGGTGGTTGTCAGGGTGCGACATCCACTTGTGTGTCGCCTGAAATTCTCAAGGCCAGCCGTTGCGACAGTCGCAAACCAGACTGCTTGTCTCATTGCGCGGCTTGTCTCATTTGCACCCCGTTAAACAACCTGAAGAAGGGGTTGATTGGTTTTGCAACCGAGTTCTGGCAGGTATGCTTGTGCAAGAAACATGGCCTGAAAATGCAAACAAAAGCGCCCCGGCCTGCTTCAACACCTTTTGGAAGTCGGGCGGCGGCAGCTGGATTCCCAGAAACTTGGACACCAGAGCCACCTGCTCTTCCAGGTTTTCCAGCAGAGTCTCGAAGTGGATGAACAAGACATTTGGATGCTGTCCTCATCAGTGTCCCAAACTCTGCCCTATCGCCTGACAATTCCGCTACGTTCTTCCTGTCAACAAAAATAATACGGGGAGACTGTTATGAGTCATGGCTCGCCAGAATCGGCTTGAACATGCGTGAGTCGACTCACCGATATTTTGTCTAAACAGGTAAGAGCTGATACAAATACAGAGTAGGGACGCAGGGCCAAATAAGTCAACCCCATGGATGAAGCACTCGTTTGCAGGCAATCCAACCGTAGGCCGCTCGCACTTGGCGCAAGATGTTAGAGCCGACCACTCCGAGAACCCGTGACTAAAGCAAACCAAGACCCAGGCTTCCCGAAGTCACTGCCCAACCAAATCTGACAAAATAAGTCGTGTTTTGATTGTGTGGGGATGTGACGGTGGTGGTGTTGGTGGTGGTGGTGGTGGAAGCCGTAGTAGTGGTTTTCCCGGGCTTCTCGTTCTTAGCAGGCCGGATGTGTCAGGATTGACGCCAAGGAGGCCAATCTCGCCAAAAAAACATTCTGGGTAATGGCTCCTTTATAAACACGACACGTGACATGCGTTGTAAAACCAACGCGAGAAAGACCCTGGCAGTTTCAAGTTGCTTGCGGCCGCTGCGTTATCCCCGTGCGCAAAGGCGTCGCCGTCTTGATCGTCGTCGCCGTCGTAGTGGTTGTGGTTGTGGTTGTGGTTGTGGTCGGTGTCGTCGGTGTCGTCGGCGACGACGCGTCGTCGTCGTCGTCGTCGTCGTCGTCGTCGTCGTTGTGGTTGTTGTTGTTGTGGTTGTGGTGGTTGTGGTTGTGGTTGTGGCTGTGGCTGTGGCTGTGGCTGTGGCTGTGGCTGTGGCTGCTGCTGCTGCTGCTGCTGCTGCTGTTGCTGTTGCTGTTGCTGTTGCTGTTGCTGTTGCTCTTGCTGTTGCTGTTGCTGTTTGTATGAGCAGCGCTCGGAACTCAGATTTGGCTTCAGCGAGATGGAGATGCTGACGAGATTGATTGCAGGGCTCCCCCCAAACATCCCTCCCAACAACCCCAAAGCCTTCCCCCCCCCAAAAAAAAAGAAAAGAAAAGAAGAGGTTTCAGGCAAGGGATTCAATGTGTTTTTTCAGATTTTTTTTTCTGAAAGCAACAAGTGCTCGGCTGTCTTCAAAAAAAAGCCAAAGGTTCAGGGGAGCCCTCCTATGGCCTTAGGTTCATGAAAAGCATGTCAAAGCTGTCCTGTTACTCAGTTGCCCAAAGGACCCAGAACTAAAAGGATAACCTTTTGGCACCTCTACTAAAAATGGACCAGAATGGAAAAGCCAAAAGGTCAAAAGGTCGGCTTTGTACAACTGAGGTTTCTAGTAAGGCTGGCAAGTGAAATGCGGAATTATTTTTCTTGGCCCGCCCGGAGTTGGGTAGCTGATCCAAAACGCTCGGCTCACTCGGTCACTCGGTCACTGGGTCCCAGCTGCGCACGGGATACCAGCCCAGCATGTGCGACCAAATGGTTCCTGCGCAAGAAGTTCCGGCAAAGATGGCATCGCAGAAGGTGGTGGCAGAGATGTCCTGCCGACGCACACCATACAAATGCAAGGGTGATTTGACAATCTGATTCTGCGTTTTCTGCTATTACCCTTTCTCCCACTAACATGGCGCCTGTGGGAGGGACCTGGAACATCAGCTTCCTTTTGGAGGGACCGGGTCCCTCAGGTGCCATGGCAACGTGGGAGAGAGGGTGGCCTTCTGTGTGACTTCTCATTTTGGCTTTGGATTTCATGGCCATGCTTCAATTCGCAGCTGCCCAAAAGCGCCAACAGCATCCAAGAGCCAAATTTGTGATGGCCCTCCCTTCTTCTCCCTCTCAAATGGCTGTGGGTCAAGAATATGTGCCCAAAATGGGTTGCCCTGGTAAATGAAACAAGGACTCAAACCTGCGGTCCCCTGGTGGTGTAATTTGGACCCATACCCAGATCCAGGCTCGCAGTATTCATCCCGAGACAGTCTCACTCAGGCTCGCTCCCCAGGAAGGAGGCCCATGTAGCTGGGCATGAAGTGCCAGAAGCTTACAAAGGCATCCGCTGGATCTCGCATGACCTTGCGGCATCGGCATGTCGCCTTTTCCACGGGAAAAAGGCAGGAGTGGTTGATCAAAGGTGCGTGTGTGTGTGTGTGTGTGTGTGTGTGTCCGCTAGGGCGGAAATCCTTCGAGCACATGGAGTCAAGGGTGTGTCAAGTGTTACCCTCAGGGCCTGTGGCATCTTCGTGCGACACACAAGCCAAGCACAACACTCATCCTCGAGGGTCATGGAATGCATCGCGCGCTTCACATGATACCCTGTGTCGGAGAGATAAGCATATCCAAGCCTCGTGCCTTCGCTGGAGGCAGCGAAGAACACCCATGCTGGGACCTGGTTCTCATTTCATTTTAAAGAATGCCTTTACTCAACCTACAGATGTGGCATCGTAGTTTCACTTCAAATTCTGCACACGATTCATTGAGCGAAAAAAACCACATTTTCAGGGGTGACCACAGCTACTCAATGTTCCTCAAGGACGCACCTTTTAAACAACTCTCTGCACAGTATCACGCAAAATCAAATGACGTTTAGAAGAAACTTCTGTAGCACTGCAACTAATTGAGCTAGCTCTCTCTAAGAATGCAAGAGCCTGCATACGCTCTTTAAGACTAGATGCAACTGCACGTTAAAAAAAAAAAAAAAAACAAAAAAAAAAAAAAAAAACGTTCGGAACGGGAGCGGAAAAATAACCATTGGCACGGCCGCGTGCACAGTTTCGCAGCCGTAAAAAGGTAAACCGTCTGTGGACTTTCGTGGGATCGACCTTCAACAATTCGTAGATTTTTATGCTTTCATTTTGGCCGCGTAGCCCTCTGCGTACTTTCGGGGGGTCGACCTTCAAACACTCGCGGTTATTCCGTGTTGTATTTTGGCAGCGCAACCCTCTGCATACTTTCGCGGCATCAACTTCCAAAACTCGTGGCACTTTACGGCCTTCTTCCTTGCTGCTCGAAAAGAAACGAAAACGCCGGAGAATGCGAGAACTGGGGAAAACGAAAAAGAGCGAAAGAAGAGAAAGAAACAGAGAGTGAGAGAGAGAGAGACACAAGGGAAAAGAAGCGCGCTCCAAACTATAGTTGCTCTATTTTGACATTTCCGCCCCCCGGCTCCGCCGGACGTCACTGGTATTATGATGTCTTCCTCCCCCCAACAACCATGGAAGCGCACAGGCCCCCTTTCCAAAGGGAACGAGGGGCCTGTGGGCTGTCATGTTTCCTGGTGGGCGTGTAGGTAGTATAAGCAACAATAGATTGCTGGAGTGCGAGCACTGGAGCGGTCTTCCAGTACTTACCGAGTATTTCACAAGTATGTAAACATTTACACTGTGTTTACCCAGTGTGATGCCAAACATGTGCTTTCAAACCTGCATCATGCAAATCGCTTTTGCATTCGACCAATGTCTTTGGCTCAGGAAAAGCGTCTTGACACAACCACAGGCCCATCCATACCGGAGGCAGCATTTGTTTTCCTCAACTAAAGCGGATTGCATAGGATACATGTTTCTGACCACTGCAGTGGGGGCGATGCCCTCTTTGTGTCTTGAGCGAAAACAAATTTGTGTTGTGCTCAGTCTACGCATACACTTGACAGGGACCTCAAGACCAGCCTCTTTTCAATTAGGCTTTGAAGGCCTGGCTCAACGTCCAAGGGAACTTCGCAGACTGAAATGTATGACTACATATTCAGCAACACGCAGGGAGCCCGACAACTGAGTTCTGATGACCCTGTGGCAGAACAAATGAGACTCAAGAGCATCAACTGCGTTACGCTACCACCGTGGAACTCCACAGAGTTTTCAGAGTCTGCGCAAGTCGCTCAGCACCCAGCTTTGCCCAAGGCCTCTGACAAATGCTTGGAGACCTGGCCTGACCTGTGCTTGCATCTTTCCGAAACTTAGGGCGTCTGAGCAGAGCTGTTCCTCAGGCCATCCCGTTCGCTTTGCACGCTTGCACCTTTCCAAGCTCAGTGTCCGCAACAAAGAACGACAAGATGAATCTACTGCTGGCCCTATATACATTCAGACGGTGACAGTGGAAAGGCAATGCAGAGACGGATGTCATGGCCAAGGCTTTGGAAATGATTCCGTGATTCTGTCCTCAAAATACGTAGCTGGGCGTATGGGGAGACCTGGGTCCAAGGGACAATTGCCTGGTTGCCCAGTGACCCTGCTAAAAGGCAACCCTTTTTGGGCTTGATTCCAGACACAAAGCGGTTCCTGGGAATGAAATCCACCGAACTACTCGGACAACACGCTGTCCGAGGGGCATAGATGTACTTGGCTTCGCCCACATCCTCGCGGGCAGTGCCCTTTGACTTGCCCACCTTCTCAAAGGGCTCATGGGACTTGAACATCCGCGGAGTGAAGCCCTGCAGGGCGGCGACTCTGGATATCGTAGGGGTTGATTCCCCATTCTTTTCAGCCACCGTTCTTTTCAAAAACCGATCGCCCTTTTTCCAGGGCTTTTGGTGGTTTTCTAGAGAGATTCGGATCCCTGGAAAGAATGAAAATGGAAGTTACCCCTAGAGATATCTCTTTTTGCTCCAGCGATCCCAAAGCCATCACCCACTTGACATGACGTCACCACCAGCACGCCGTCACCAACCAGCAGCCGTCACTTAATATGAACCAGCCAACGCCAGGCATCACTTAGCATGACGAACCATAGCCAGCCGAAACCAGCAATCACTAGCCACACTTAACATGACCAACCATAACAGCCAACCATCAGTGACGTCAGTGAACACGACCAACCATCATCAACGTAGGCATCGCCAGCTGTCACCAGTCAGGAATGATTAGCCATGATGCCACGACCAGCTATTACACAACTGAAGATGAGTCACCAAAAACATACTCTGACAAGTGCATCAAAACATGTGAAAGTGTCTCCACCTGCACATCTGCTATTAGGAAAGCTGCCCTGGTCTACAAACAAACAAACACCACGATAGCAAAGGTGCAAGACCATGGGGCGTTTGCCACCTCGAAGAGCAGTGCTCGTGGCTCTCTTCCAAGCAGCAATCTGCTTGCACTCCACCGCGCCAGGCCGGGGCCCCGCTTTTGTCTTGCGTGGGTACTGCGGATGGTTGCGCAATTCTCCCAGGCGCCACCCAAGCAAAACCAAGGGCTTCTGATTCGATTCCCCAACGTACCAACAAACACTAGCCTCCATTTGCTTAAGCCCCCTGGAAAAAAAGAAAAAACATATTTCCAGTCGTGATAGATTCCAACTTTAAAATCAAAAGGTGAAAACCAAAAAAAAAACATTTCAGCAAATGAAAGCTAGCGTCCTTCCCTGTTTCGTGGTTCGAAATCGCCCCACACTTCGCCGCAACTGCGCGGCGCCTGGGGCGCGTTCAAGTCCCAGCCCGCCAGCTCTGCACAGATGTCCCAGGGGCTCACCTGGCTGGCTAAGGATGTTGATCGCTGGAGTTATATCCGGATTAAACGCCTGGTGGATTTGTTTGGGGGGTGTTCTCCACGGGGGTAAGAGTTATACTTGACGTTGGGTTTGGGGAGCAAGAATGAATAAGTTTTAGCGGTTAAGTGGATTTGGATTTCAACCACTAAACCAAAATAAGCAAAAATCTGAAATGTTTCCCAACAACCATGTATATCGGGATTAATAAACCCCTGGTGGATTAATTGGGGGGTGTCCCCCATGGGAAATACCAAAGCCCAGTCGTAGCCCCAGTGAACGGGACCGATTCAATCCAAGCACTAAAATAGGAAACCTAAAATGGGTGGTGCGGTGCACCCCAACATTGGGATTTCATTGGTTCTGACCATTCTGACCCACAGCCACATCACTCGTGTCAAGTTTTTGATCGGATAACAGTTATATAAACGGAACGCATGGACAGTGCACAACCTGCACAAATACACACAACCTGCAACCCCATGGGTTGTGTAACCGGAACGCATAGACAGCACTGAATTGCACAAAGGGATCAAAGAGAAACTGATTTGGGAGGATCCAACAGCAAATGATTGCACATCAAACACATGTTCGAGTAATATGCGCGCGCACACACAATCTGCAACCCCATGTCCCCATGTCATCAAAAGAACCTATGAGGCATCAAGCACAACTTATTGCATCAGACAGTTTTTGTGATGGGCGAAGCACTTTAGAGCATGGAATGCAGAATTCATGGCTCTGTGTGCGCAAATGGAGGGGCAGGCGCAATGCTGTCTGAACGTGGTTTGTTTCACGGCTGACGCAGCAATTTGAACCATGGAGTGTCGTGGCAGGCACAACACTTTAGAGAAGCAGGCATGTGTCGTGGCGAACACTGTAATGTTGGAGTGTGGACTCTCTTTTGCGCAGAGAGTCATGCGGCGTTGTCGCTTGGAACTGTCTAGTGGAAGAGTCTTAGAAGGTCTGGAGATTTTGTTCCGACTCTTGACTAATCTATGTTTTATAAGCCGCTTTTGACGCCCACAGCATTCGCAACACAACTCCCTTCCCTATAATACATCCATATCAGCGCACTTTCCATGAAACACACGATCAAGTGGGTGAGCAGCTTGCATACAGGGGAGCTAAGTACGCGCAGGACAAACTCATCTAGGCCAACAAACAACGATCAAGCCGTCAGGGCGCACACGCGCGACCCTCAAACCTCCCGAGCGCTGCGGCCATTCATCGCGCACGAGTGATTTATGCCTTCCTTCTTGTTTGTTCTTCCCTGCCCACAAGGAATGGCACCGAGTGTTGCACATAGGTATTGATTCTTATGAGCTGGTTGATGCCTATCGCGTCGAACAGGGCCTGTGGAATTTTGTCAGACTAGGGCTCACGGTTTAAGGAGCCCTTGATTCTTTTTTTTTCGGGCCAAGAGCATCGCGGGCACTCGGCAGCCTCAGGGATTGAGACCGATTGGCTCTGGTCAAGCAATCAACCAACCAACCAACCAACCAACCAACCAACCAACCAACCAACCAACCAACCAACCAACCAACCAACCAACCAACCAACCAACCAGCGAAGCAGCGAACCAGACCTAAGAAAGAGAAAGGCCCAGGAGAGCGGCCCAGTCATCCCAATTGGAGCAAAACAAGGGCAAAGCAAAGAACGGCAGACAGCAAACTTGATGTCAGTTTTCTTGGCATCAAGAGCAAGGCGAGGAGCGCACATCTGCTTTCCACCCTGAAAATCCTTGGGCGCTCTACTGGAGAAATTGGGACCCATTGAAAAACTGCCCTGAGGGCCGTAGGTTGGGGTCCGTTGGCTACAAGCGTCCTCGGTGAAGCCAGCGCCGCGCCCCGCGCCTCGGTGATTTCATCAAAGTTCATGTCGCCCTTGCTGCGCAAGCCATGAACCTCGGTCTGCAAAAGAAGTCTTTTGCGCCCACGCGGAGTCGGGCTGTCGGTCTTCCACGCACGGAAGAAGAACAAAGAACACTCATGGCTAGAGTTCTGCCCGCGCCCGAAACTCGAACATCAAGGAAGAAGGACTAGCACGTGTATGGCGGCTTCTGGAATGCTTGCAAAGCCCACTACATCATCCACAGCCTAAGCCCGTGTGTTGCCCTTATCTACTCGTTGCCTCCAATCTTGACTCAAGTATAGACCGCCTGAGACAGAATATACTTGGTTGACGTTGGAAGGGGAGCAATAATTTAATTTTTAGCAGTTAAGTGCGTCCCACTAAACCACAATATAAGCAAAAATGTGACATGTTTCCCAACAGCAACCATGTATATGTATATGTAGTGAGGTCAGCTGCGGAATGGTTATTGCCGGATTCGGCTAAACCGCAGCAACGCGCAGCAAATTCTCCCGAGCAGCAATCTGCATCATCCAAGTCGTGCCGCACTTGGGGTACCTCCGTGCACGAATTTGGTGAGCGCGTTGCTGCTAGCAGCTGGTGTGGCCAGCTACTCATTTGGCCTGCTTCTGCGCACTCATGTGTTTCTATGTTGGTGTTGCTTTATGTGGCCACTGTTCATCTTGCGCCATTTCTTAGTTGTGCTGCTGTTTTGTGTGTTCCATACTCGCACTGCGCTTCGTCGTTTCAGGGTTGCCCAGCAAATTGCCAGCAAATGCCTTTGTTGTGCAGCAGCTGCATGTGAAACCACATCTTGCAGCAGCATCCCTCAACGATCTGTACCCCACAAATCAATCCAAGTTGCACACTTCCACTTCCCTATCATTACAACACACGCATCTACCAACGCTAGTGATGACAGGGTACTTGGTAGCAAACAGCTTTTGTTCTTTGGCTGCATCCGGAAGCATTTTCCCAAAAGCGTGACCAGGCGCCTCACCAGGCACCTCTTCTGTTTGGTGGATCTTGGACCAACAAAACTGAGCATTTCACACACATTAAAGTACAACTCATTGACTCCTTAACATTCCCTGGGGCCAACTTGCCAAGACTTGTCTTGTTTGCTTTCTGCTCCCCTGCTAAAAGTTTTTTTTTTAAAGTTTTCGTGGATTAGTATGGAAAACCCATTCGTTGGCAAAAAACTGTCCTAACATCCAAGCAGAATGCACAAAGTTGTGACCTTACCACTTCAAGTTGCTGGCCCGCTGACGGCCAGACGCGGAAGCCCTTGGGCACGTGGAGATCACCACGTCCCCGGGCTGCGGCTGGAACTCGGGGAAGGTCCCGTTTTTGGAGGCGGACTCCGAGTGCATGAAGCCTGGAACCGGCGACATGTGGGCTGTGGCGGTCGAAAATAGTTGGTAACCCCAAAATGTGTTGCCCTGGTATATGGAAACACGGACTAAAAATGATGCGGTCCAAGTCCTGGTGGTTAAATCTTGGCCCATACCCATGTGGGCTTGGAGCATCCGCTGTGCTTGGAAGATTTGGACACGTGGGGTTGGAGACTCGAGAATCCGGCCGTGGTTGGAAAACTTGGAGCCCTCAAAACGGCTCCTGTTGATTGGAACCATGAGTTGCCTCAAGAGAGGCCACCAACCAAGATCGGCACTGTGCGCAAAACGATCGAGACCAAGCGAGACATGGACATGGATCTTGAGCTTATGGAAGGGACACCCCGTGAGGCACGAGCCAAGTGGCTGTTTCTCATGGACATCAGCTCCCACGCCAGCTGCTCCTTGCCTGACATGGGACGTGTAAACGAACGGCCTGGGCCGCGTGACATATGCATAATATTGGATTGGATTGGATTGGAGGGCGACCTACAGAAAAGTAAACTTCTCTGTCCCTCCACTGTCGGGTCAACGGCACTGCTCCGCAAACGTCATAGCAGGCCTCACTGCCAGCTTCTGGGTGCCCATGAGGCCGAGTTGCACGATGGCGAGGAAGAAAAAAACAAACAACAGAAAAGGAAAGGAACCCCTCAGAACGTCGGCGCCGAGGGCGGAGAGGCATCGGCCCCAGTGCCTGCTGCCCCAGTCATACCGATCGCATCCAGACCCGCCGGACTGCAACGACACAGAAAGCAAGGTGGCTGACCCCTTCCAAGACACGCAGTCACCCAGACACGTGCCAGAGAAGCGAGGGAGCTGTTCCATTGTGCCAACTTGGAGGTCCAAGCGGTCCACCTCGCTGGCAGACGCGACGCTTGACGCATCGCTGCCCTCCAGCAAAGCACCTTCCGCGCACAGGTCCATGAGTCCTGCGGGCAGGACGACGTACGGGGGCAGCCGGATCACACCGGCTACACACGCAAAAAGACGGAAGTCTGCGGGGTCACACCCACAGGGGCCCGCTGCCGGCTCACACCAGCAGTAAACACCCGAGAGTGCGGTCACACGCACAGCACCGGCCAGCGCGCCGGGGGGGCAGTGACAGCCAAAGAGAAAGAAGGGAACTCGGGGTCACACCCAGGCCCACAACCCAGCAAGACACGGCCAAAAGGAAGAAAGAGAGGAGTCAAAGAAGAAAGGAGGAGAGGAAAGAGAGAACGAAGAGAGGGAAAAGGAAAGAGAGGAGCAGCAAAGCAGACACCAACCCACACACACACACACACGCACTCCGGGGGGGGGGGCCAGAAACAAAAACAAAAGACAAGAGAGGCTGCCACAGCTGCCCCCGGACGCGCGGCCTGAACCCAACACAAACCGGAGCCGAAACGGCAAAAACCAGCCAGCGGGCACTGTCACCCTAGCAGAACCCTTCAAGGCCAGAGCGGGGGGTGCTCATCGGGTTAGAAAGAAACCCTTAGTGCCGCCCCCGGGGTCCGCCCCTCCCCAAAAACGGCCAAGAAAGGAAGAACCTGCTAGGCCCGGGGGATACGCATAATATGTATACATATGTCTAATCTATATATATATATATGTACATACATGTACACTCACATATTCACATACGCATACTGACAGGATGTGTGTATATATATATATATATATATATAGTTACGTCATAGTATGGTCCTCCTTATCTCGGCCCCATCACCAGCACATCTTGTATGTACAAATACACCCATGCTCAAACCAAAGGAGGTGCCATCATTCAGGACAAAGCTTGTAGAAAGGGCACGAGTCCACGAGGTGCCGGGTACTCCACATTGGAGTTCGACAGCTGCCCCCCAAAGGAGCTTACATTCTATAGTTTTAAGCAAAGAGCTGAAGCAGAATTATTCAGATTTGCGGAAAGCTGTGGGGGAAGGGGTAAGACATTCAATCTGACGCCTGGGTGTGTGATAGTGGTCCGAACGTTTTTAGGGATCCTGACCTCTCCCCCAAGAACATGCCCCATATCCATGAGGTCGCAGCTCTCCGCATGCACAACCGCAGTTTGAGACAATGCCCCGTTTGCTTCAATACCCAACTGGACAACCATGACGCCAGGTTTCAATTCGTTTGCACACTCCTTAATTGCTTAGGTCCTCCAGTAGAGAGGTTAGAATAAGGGTCCCCTTCTTTCTGTAGTCTATTTTAGCAGGGGAACCCTCCCCAAAAAAAGGGGTAAAAGGGCACTACTGGGGACCTAGTTGCCCAAACCAGGTTCGCCGAGCCGCGCTCTTTGACCGCCGCCAAGCTCTTCTGCAACTTTGCGACCCAGAGCGCAGCGGCGACCGCAGCAGCGGCGGCAGCTAAGCCGCCGGCCGCAGCCATGGAATTGGAGAGGCTCATGACGAAACCAACTTTGAGCTTCGCAGCTCCGCGCCGCCGCGCTTGTGCCAAGTGGCCGCAGTGCAACCAAAATCAACCGGAAGCGCTCGAACATCCGCTCGAAAACTGTGGCAAAGGCAACCAAAGTGCCACGAATGGGGCCAAGGCCTCCGGACGCGCATCACGCCTTGACATCGACTCAATCCTGAGCCTTCATCTGGTTTGGGGGCTGTTCCCCACATGAACCACCATTTGGGGTGAATTCGGTCGTGTGAGCTCGTTCTAATTCACCCAGCTTCATGGCTCGTCGCAAGATCAAAAACCTCAGGTTGCCTCAGCCACCTCCTCATCGCTCCCAGTTTCTACAGCTCGCTGTGGGTCTCTCGAGTGCCATCTGGCAAAGGGGCTCCGCTGAGCGGCATTCAGCACATGATGCCTTTATGGCAGCGCTCACAGGCCTATTCTACATGACCCTGATGGCTTCTCCCCGTTCCTCTCAGCAGGCCCCCTCCACTTTAAACAGTTCCAGCGGAAGCTGCTTCAAACCAGCAGCATCATGAGGGCAGGTGCCACGCGCGCGGGCTTGGGCTGCTTAAAAAGAAAGTGGCTCCTACTTCCCTCTGCAAAAGACGAGCATAGTATCAAACAGGTGTCCGGTGTCCTCTTCAATGTGGAAGATGGTTGGTTTGCGATGCCACATGCAGGATTATCCGGTTGGCAGCCTAGTACCGCCAAAACAGGTCCGAAACAAACAAATCATCTATTTGACCGACTAGTTTGCATGCCTCTTGAGAGTCGTGTCACCCAGAATGTGGTCAGCTTATATCACGTTTGCGCGTCCCGCATTCGGATGGTCCACTATCAAAAAGCTGTTCATGGGCAATCGGCATGCTTCCCTTCACCATACCGCAAGCAACGGCTGTCTAAAGCTCACTGCCTGAGTGGATGGCCCAAAAAGTCAAAACTTTTTGTATGCCACTCAGCTGTTCTTCCCCAAACACATATGTCCAAAAACTCAGAAAGTGAGAAATCAATCATATGTGGTGTGACACTCCTGACATGGGGTATCTCCTCCGCAACTTCAGTCTCTCTGCAACTCACCGAGATGCCCTTCCCAGGCGCAGGCACTCGAGTCCGCTCTACTTATTTGGTGGCTACCGGGAAAACCTGGGGCTGCCAAAACCTGAAAGGGAATTGGGTTGCAAGGCTGTGGGTCAAAAATAGGGTAACCCAAATGTTCTGGTAAATGGAACCAAGGACGAGTAAACCTGCGGTCCAATTCCTGGTGGTGACTCATTTTGATTCCCATACCCTGCTCAAAAACGCCCCCTTTTTGCCGCGGTGTTACGCGAAAATGGACCCCTGGTGGTTTAATTTTGACCCATGCCCATTTGTTCTCTTTGTTTCTCCCTGCTCGCACCTAGATGCAAAGACCCAAGGCCCGGTTGCCGGTGATACGCGCTTGAATGGTCGCGCACTCAGCCTTCTGCAGAGTGCAAAGCTGCATGCAGTGGGCCATGCCCGGAAGCAAAGAATAACCAGTAGTCAACTGGTGCTTTCCACCAAACACCATGCTGGGCTTCACGTATTACAATATGGCTCTGAAGTGGCAACACGATTATGGGGAGGCTTAACATGTTTAACTTGGGATTCTAGTCCTTCAAAGCTGCCTGTTTCATAATCCGACAACGTGTCCACTACAGAGCGGCATCTAATGGATCCAACATCCAACCAAGCTGCGATGAACAACTGACATGCTCCATCAATGGAATCCTTCGATCAAACCTTGATGTCAATCCCCATCGAATCGAAGAAGCTAGCAGCATGCAATTGCAAGTAGGCCAAACAACGAGAAATCATCCTGCTGACAGTCCTACTTAGCAGGCCTTCGATTCGTGCAGCCAACTTAACTGCAATATTCAACAAACTTTGGCTTCTCCCTGATCCCGCACATGATGACTGACAAATGCCCTGCTCGCACAGGACAAGTCAACATTTAGAAACACAATGGGAACTGGACAGCAAAGCGTGGGGTGCTTTGTAGGTCCTTTGCTGTTGCCCAAGTTGATCATGTGGATGAGCCTCATATCGAAGCAAAGGCGATTTCAAGATCAAAAACCAGACAAACAACAACAGCTCTCGTGGCTCTCAAATCTCACTTGTATGTTGTTGGCGGGAAAGCACCACCTGCCTCTTGACCTCTCAGAAGTGCCACATGTGAAGGACCTCTGCGCATGACATGTCAAGAGAGGCGCAGGGTGCATCCAAATGGTTGACATGTCTTTGCAAACCAATGAGTTCGCGACTTTGTGACACACTCACGAACACACCGTCTCGGAACCTTTCACACGCATCTGAGAAGCCAACGTAGCAGAACATGTGTGAAAGTCATGGCACAGAGCCGAGTGCCCAAAAAGACTGGAATTCCATCACATCATCCAAATGAATCCAAATGGACATTCATCGAAACTTGGCTAGACAAGCAACAACGTAATGCTTGAAATCCCATGCAACGGAAGTGTAGGCGCTGAAAAGTAACAAACACAGACTGAACGTGTGAAAGAGAACAAGGCAAACTCTTCCACCTGCAAGTTGGCTAGTTCATTACCAATCTAGTTCATCAATGAGAAAGTTCAATTCTGGCTTACTGGGTTCGCCAGTTGGCTAAGCTGCCAAGAAGTCAGCTTGGTTGTGTTTGCTACTTTAGCTCGGGCAGTTTGTCAGACAGGTTGCTATTCAGCTGTGGATTTCTCCGCAGCCACGGAGCTCACTTGTTGATGGTTTAATCAGTTAGCTGATTAGGTGGCAAGAAAGGTAGCTCATTCCTCAGTTGGTTGGTCAAGTAACCATTTAGATAGTAAAGTAAGCAACATTTTAGGTTTGGCACATTACTTAAATATTTATATAATCAGCTACTTGTACAGTAGTCAACTTTAGCCAGCTTAGCTATCAGAACAAAGCACGAGCAGAAATATATTATCTTATTGAAATCTATAAACCACAGTTGCAGGTCAACGCTGACAGGTCCAGAAAGGGTTGCGTGAGCGAAGTCAACAACTGCAAAAATGGACAGCCGTTTACAATACAAGTCGCCCAAGCAAAGTCCAGTGCCGATGCCCGAGCAACAAAAGCGAGCAACGAGCAACGAGTCAGCGGCCCCGGTGGCTGATACCGCTCCGTCCAAAAACTGACATGCTCCGAGGCTTCATCCGACATCGCGAATGTCAGTTGCAAACCTTACCGAAACAAAGACATCTGCATCGGACCACATCCCCGCTTTTCTGCCCTACTCCCAGCTGTCGCCGCATTTCCGGATTGTTCTTTTCCCATGCGCAAATCATGCACTTCTCAAAGACTGAAGAAGCTTAGATGGTGACTGCACCACAGACAGAAGAGCCTTGCCCACAACCAATCAAGATTCTCTGCACTGCACCGGTGATGGTCTTTGTCAGTTGCCACAGACCGGGCCGGCTGGGCGCTGAGTGAGTTCTCTGACCATCGTTTGAGGCCAGTAAAGCAAAATGGCACTGGCCACGGGAAAGTCCAAGACTATCTTCTTTGCAGTCCAAGCATGGCTTGGGGTGGACCTGGGAACCAGCTTGAAAACCTAATGCAAGACAAAAACGATGGGCCACCTGTGGCCATTGACAACTTGCTTGACATATATCCGGCAAGGCTTTGATATTCGAGTCACTTTGGCCAAACTTGGGTGAAACCACTTGGAACTTGCAGTCTTTCGAGTTGACACATTCCAGTCCTGCGTCTCGCGAGGGAAACACTCGTCCCGCCTCTAGGTCTTCAGTCCTCGCCAGGCACTGAACATGAGCTTGCGGCACAAGTCAGACTGTCGAACGAATGGGTTTTGGATGCATGTCCTGTCCCCCTCAGAGCTCGTCTTTCCGAATCGGAATGACTTGGAGTGGCCGGCCATGGTAGCTTCATGGTTTGTTTCGATAGCTCCGTGAGGTGGGCGTTGCAACTCTGCAGGTTGTTCTCTTACTGTTGCTTCAGTCAATGAATCAAGGCACTAGTTGTACTCCCCACCAGGTTCCTTTGAAACTGATCATGAAATGGGGTGAAATATACAACCATAGCATTGTCCTCTTGAGACTATGAGACTATTCCATGAGAGCATGCCAGGAAAGCAGTGTGTCATATTGTACACCCCTAGATCCAAAGAGCAATCCGGCTCTGATTCTCAGATGCCCAGTGGCCATGGGCAAAAAAGGGAATCCTTTTTTGGTTGGCTGACTTTAAAGGGGAACCCTTCCAAAAAAAGGTAACAAGGGCACCACTGGGCAACTGGGTCATATCCAACAGCAATTCCCAAACACGCAGGGTCGTGATCCATCCACCCCTCAGCGCAGCCAGGTCAACATTCGGCACTCTCAGAGCAAAACTGCTAGCCAGTCATGGCGCTCTTGCTGGCTGACGCCCCCTCTTCCTCCTATTCTTACCTTCCTTCTGTCCCTAATAATTAAAACGAAATGGCCCTTCCCTCTCTTCTGAGACCCACCAACAAAACCACCTTTTCGCCCAACTCCCCGGATCCCCCAAAGACACGACCCCGAATTCGCCCAAGTTCCCCCGCCTTTCTCCCAGCTATCCACCACGATGGAGGAGCCGCACAAGTCCGCGCCGTTCAGCGCCGACTTCGCGCTCTGCGCCTCCTCCGCAGTGCCATACCTCGCGGACCCCGAGGGCAGCTGCCAAGGTCCCAGGGTCAGGGGGGTGATCAAAAGGTCCCATGGCTCGAGCATGGGATGCTCCAAGGCTCGGAAAGCCACAAAGATATGATATTTCAACCTTGGGAAAGTTAGCCTTTGGTCATTTGGGGGCCGAACGGAATACTGAATCCCCATAGCGATGGAGGCTATGGGATCCACAGATTCGAACACTTCAGGGCAAGTCCCCGCGAGTGAATCCTATCTCTGTTCGATTCACTTTCTTCACCCTTCAGCAAGAAATCATCAGATTTCCTCGGACGTTTTGGTTTGCTTTCCCCGCGTGGGATGGACCCGGCGCACACGACAGCGGCAGTGCCCTTGCCCTTGCCACGGAAGATCTCGACCCACTTGCTCTTGCCGCCGGCCTACGGACGGCGAGGGGTCTTCCCGTTTGTGGCAAGGGACGGCAAGGGAATCGCGCAAGCCAGGGAGGCGCTTCAAGAAATCAAGTCACCCTTGCTGCTTCCCTGAGTCACCAGAATTTTGTCAATGCAAAGTCACAGACACACCATCATTCGAGGTCCAAAGATAAGGAGGCCACCATAGGTGGAAATAATAGGGCTAGGAAGGATAAGTAACAAGGATCCACGCCGCACAAACAAAAAGGCCAGCAAACTGTTTGGAACAAACAATAAATAATGCAAACACCTTGGCACGTCGAACAACTTCGTTTCAATACGAAGATAGAAGACCCGCTATCAAGGGATACTACCTTGATTCAACCAATAGGTGAGCTGACTTAGCGCCCACGACAAAAAACAATAACACATCTTCCCGCAGAATCAGCAAATCAGTATCAGTTCTGCCACACTTCAGCCGCGCGCTTCGTTTCTAAGGGTTTTATGAAGGGAGTGGATCGATGTTGCACAGAGAACACACCACCAGGCGAAAGGAACGGGGATAAATTAGCAAATCAAACACCTGTCAAACCAAAACAACGTGCTGTAGAAATGGAGGCATCCAGGCCCCGCACCCTGGTTGACAAAGATGCTGTTCACTCAATGGGTCAAAACTTTACTACATTGATTGATCTGCCGAAGGGAAAGCAATGGGCAATAGCAACCAAACGCTGCGTGATAGCTCCTTGGTGGAACATTTTTTTTAAAATATTTTTTCTGCGTGGGAAAATTGCAGGAGCACGGCTAAACAACACGGTCAATGAGCATGTTGCGGGCCAAACCCAGAGTTTGATAGTGCAAAGCTCATTCGCGTACAAGCACGGCAGTTCCATGAAGGCATGCTCAATACACAACGCTCCCTCTTCTCGACAATTAAACGTGTTTGAAGGCGATCAGCCATGGAAAACAACAAGATGCATAAAGACTGCACAATCCATGGCTCTGAAAGGCTCCCAGCTAATTTCAGTTGCCAGCACTCACCCCAAAGGCTTACATGTCCTAGACCCAAATTGCAAAATCGTGCCCCCCCCCCCCCCACCCCACCCCCGCCATCGACGCGTTTCAGAGGTGTTGATGCAACATTCGACCGGCGACCGCATGGCAATCACAAGCCCAGCTTTCACATTGACAGCGGGGTCTGTCTATGATTTGCCTGGTGAGGGGGAGTGTCTGATGAGTCACTGCTTTTGTGGTTGTCTACAATAAAAGTCAATGGTGTTTAATGAAACCCAAGGTTTTTATTAGATCAAACACACCCAATGCAAACCCAATGGTTTGTATTTAAAACGCACGCAACACGGGAAGCGTGTGATTTTCAGCGTCCACCCCTTTGGGGTGCCCTCGCAAATGTGTGGGCGCGAGCAAAAACTTGGAAGCCTCTTGACACTTGTCGTGTGTCTGCAATCGTATTGTTTTGCTGCAATGCCAAAACATATAAATTCATGGATAGATGCACCATCCCCTCTCCATGCAGTACATAGGGACATAGGGCGTAGGGATTTATAGATCAATATGTCATGTTTCCCTGTAGCAATGCGACGATTCTGCAAAATGAGGACCCTTTTGGGAACCTTGGTCTTGTTTAGTGCCGCTTTTACACGCGGCCCCAAAGAAAGTCAGTGTTTGGTCACCTGCCCATCCCTGAACCTCTCTTGCGTTGTGCGAATTCGTTCCACGCCTGGTCCACCAGGGCTTGGAGGTCCTTCCACTTGGCCTGCTCGGGGATGTTGCCGATCCAGAGCTTTCTGGAGGGATCCTCAGGCAGGTCTCATACGCCTAGGACCCTTCGGCTGACCACATGGCTGAACGTGCACTGAAAAAGCGGGTGATGAGTTGAACCAGGGTGAGTTGGGTTTCGGGTGCATCAAGACACATTTTGCAGTGGGAACATCCGTATCTACCAAGACCGTGCTTCTGCAACGTAACAGCTCATCGCTCAAGAAGCTGAAAGAAAACATCTAACTTTCAAGCAGCCTTCAGCAGTCTTCGCTCAGTCTTCAGGTACGCTCTTGAGGTCCCTCTTTGCATCGCCCAGAACAATACTCAAGCTTGATACATGGGAAGGCAAGGCCGAAAGACTCAACCGCGCAACATGCCTCTGCTATGTCTCACATGTATGTACCGCTTGAAAAAGATGACTCTGAACAGATCCATGTATTCAGCACTTTACGTTTGCCTTTGAGTGCGACACAGGCTACTCACAGGCTTGCGAGACCAGCTTCTGGTAGACAACGGTGGCATCACGAAAGGGTGGGAAGAAACTGCCCTTGAAGGGCACGAGCGGTGGTTGGCAAGCGGAAACAGCCTTTGCCAAGGAAAAGGGTGGTGGGGAACACTAGATGTAGGGGTTGATCAAAAGGTCCTTTACATGAGAATGACCATTGTGGAAAGCCGTAACAAAAACATCATACTTCCCACATGGGACAAGTTACCCATGGTCAAAACTGGGGGCGTTTTAAACCGAATATTCATCACCCCCCATGTGCAGAAGACTTCTGGGGCCAAAGTCATCTCAGCTGAGCGCTTGGCGACCCGAAGCTGCGGGCTTCGCTTGCCCTTGCCCTTGCCTTTGCCCTTGAAGGGAAACCTCGGGTAAATCAGAACCCAACTGTAGGCAATGCCCACGGTTGCCCTCCAAATGGGACAAATGTTGTTGCCAGTCGGATTGTTACCCTCCAAATGGGACAAATGTTGGTCTGTAATCGCCAGTCGGATTGTCTGACGGAAAGCTTGAGAGCACCGCAGCTGAACATGCCGACAGCTATTGCCGGAGACGTGGGAACGTCACGATTGCACAAGGCATTTGGGCTTGACCCACATGTGTGAGGTTCGATTATTTGGCCATGATTTCTGCACCAAGCATTAATCAAAAGGCGAAAGGAATCTCCGAAACGGAACGCCGCGTGCTCCCCAACGGTCCAACCCTCGCCGAAAGTTGACAAAAGGAAGCAGTTGGTTGCACGGTTGCATTGGCACTACCACATAAGCGAGCTACTCACAAGTTGTCTCTGCAATTGGGTGTTCTTTGCACAGATTCATGTCCTTGTGTTGCATAATGTTGTTTTTGGTATATCATGCAAATACATACATACATATATATATATATGTATATACAAATATATATATATACATATTTATATGTCATTCACGTGTGAGTTGGTTGTAATTAATTCAGTTTTGTCGGTATCAACACCAATCCATTCACATATTTGATGAAATGTGTTTGTATTCAAGTTTCAATCATTGTTTAACATAATGTATAAAGTGATTGGACAAATCCATGTGGGTGTGCGCCGCCCCCATATAACCAACGCATTTCGTGTCCTTGGTTGGCTTGCCTATGTCCCGAATGCAGCCAGGACGCATCGGGGGCATGCCGTACATCATCATCCCCTTCGCCGGTGCGAGCTGCCAAAAGGCTGTGGGTCAAACATAGGTACCCAAACTGGAACCCTGGTACATGGAAACTTGGACTACAACCTGCAGTCCCCTGGTGGTTTAATTTTGACCCACACCCAAAAGGCTGGGTTTGCCCCCCCTTCTCCGGCAAACTAAAGGCCTCCCGCCCGCTCGCAACTGTCTGCACTCAAAGATGGCAATATGAATCCCGGTTCTCAAAAGGCCGCTACCATCACTCGGCAAACTCATTGACTCGAATCTTGGTTTCCTAAGCACGACTCCGCTCCTTGCAGCCGAGTGCATTCCAAATCCGATTTTTCAACAAGCCACCTATACTAAGGCCTCACTCCTTTTGCCCCCACAGAAGATGTGAAACAGCTTATCATCGAGACTCTTGCACCCTTTGCCCCAACCCGCCCCCCAACTCCAGACTCCGACAAATGACAAACATGTTGCGGCGCCCGAATGTCACACTGCTGGCACCAAAACAGATCTTGACAGTAAGTACCCTTCCAAAAAAACACAGCTTTCCAGGAGCCTCGCGTGATTGGAAAGACAGTGATTGAACCGCAATCTGCTAGAGCGGGGCAAGCAAATTCAAAAAGGAGACTCCTCTAAGACCATGTGCGAATTTACAATATCATTTTTTCAGTGCGTGCAGGGTCCAGGGAGCACATATTGTGCATGTTCTGCCGTTACACGACTATGAGTGGGTACCCCCAAGATGACTGAAAAAAGGCTTTTCCACCAAAAAAGAACGACTGACCCGCAGGGAACGGCATGACGGCATGACCCGCCTTGCCGCCATCCCATGGATAGCCGAAGAATCCGTAGGGTGGGTACCCTTTGTAGCCGCCTCCGCCTTCGTGCAGCCGAAACCGAGCTGAAACGAAGGTCCACGTCCACGAGGTCGGTTCGAGCGCCGCATGGTGTTGGGTCAAAAACCCACCGGCATGTCAAGAAGGACCAAGGAACCATACATATATCTGTATGTACCTATATGTATGTATAGATGTATATATAGATATATACATATGTATGTACATGGCCTATGGTCATGGTGTGCTTAATAGGAATCATTATGTATATTCCCCCCCCCGCCCCGACATGCCGAGATGTCCGAAAAAAATGCGTTCCAAGACCAATTGCGAAAGGCGGATGCAACACAACCCAAAGTTGGAGAAAGGCATCTTGCTCGAACCCACAAACACAGGCAGCTTGTCAGGTCGAAACTATAGATTCAAGGGTTACCGGTTTGGGGCCCAAAAGGAAACAACAAACCGTCCAAGTGCGCTGCTCGCACATTTTCACGCTTGAACAGCCACACTGCGGATGCAACGGATGTAAAACCCCAAACTGACCGATCAAATTCTTCACCCCCCTCTGCGTGTTAAAGGGGCCTTTCACAAAGCAGCCAAACAGAAACACAACAGAGGGAGAAGGTCATGGGGAACCGTTGTATACATGCAAACCATGACAGTTGCGCTTTTAGCGCCACTGCCAAGTAGATTGGTATCCGCTGCTGTCATTCCATCCTCCCCAACCGGACCAGTTCTGCCAGCTGCCTTGGCTCCAATGCTCACCCTCGCGGGCGGCGGGAGCACTTTGATCGGCATAGCGAGCGGCATTGCGAGCGAGGTGCTTGGTGCTCTCGTTCTTTGAAAACTCAACTGAGTTTTGGGCATATCGCTCGTTCTGGCTGAATATCCAGTCCATTTCGTGGCGGAGGTCCTCGAGGGAATTGCTTCGCAAATGGATGATGCCATTCCAACATCCAATGCTGCGAGGCTTGTCCTGCTCGGAGACAACATTCACAAAAGCCCGTGGACTGTATGGCATTCCCTGAAACATGATGATCCAACGGGAACTGAGTGCATCCTGCAATTCGCTGGGCAAAAACTCCACCTCTGTCTTTATGTACGCGAGCCTTGCGATTCGCGACTCAGAAGTTGATCCAAGGCCAACTCCAAGAGTGCGCTGGGCTTGCGACTGCTTTGGAGCAGCCAAGACGAGGTTTGCACACAACTCCATGCGGAGTATATCCGCATCCCGACGGCCCACTTCAAGCATACGAACCCTGTATTGAAGGTCGAGTTCATAGCGATCAAGTAGAGAGTGGTAGCCGTTCTTCAGGGCGGACTTGTGCTTCTTCCGGGCCTCCTGAATGACAGCACTGTCCGGGGAGTTCAGGCTACTCCGATCCTCCTCGCGGAGGTCAAAAGTTCCCACGGATGCCAAAACCTGGGCTGTGACATGGGTGCTGAGGCCCATCTTCTTCAGCAAATTGGAACGCTGCACAAGGTAATTCTTTTGCTGCTCTTTCAACAGGCGAGGATTGAGGGGTGACAACTGCCCACATGATGTGCAGTGGACCTGCCCCTCGAACACACTGTTGTTGCAAACCGGGCACGCGGCGACATTCAGCTCAACGTTCTCCATTGGATTGAAAGTCTTCTGTCTCTTCGCTTCCCCTTGCGGGGCGCGAGGAGACGCCACATTGGTGCGGGTTGTTGCAATGCGCTCCAGTGCTGTGGACCGATCATCAACCACGGCTTGGTCGCGCTTCATCCCCTGGGGTTCATCCTCAGTCGCCTCAGCTGGTGCACCTGCATCCGATTGCTCGGAGCGAGTGTACCATACATCGCCATTTGTAGCGTCCAATACAGAAATAATCGTGTAGTTGGGCACCTTGTCGCGCGTGAGGACGCCATCGCTCTCTGTCTTGAAAAAGCAAAGCCCTGCGCGAATGGCCATCCTGAGGTCGATCTGTATTTCCAAGGGCTTGTTAGCGCGTACACCTGAGATGTAATTTTCGTTCGTGCTCGGAATGTCAGCGAAGAAAACGTGAGGTCTGCCTGTCTCGTGCTGGTCACCTCCTCCTGGAAGCAGTCCGTTTCGCATAATGTTGGCGAAGTTCCGCTTATCGGTGCGATGATAGAGCACCGTAGGAGGGTTGCTGCAGACGTTCCAGCCAGACCAGCGCCCGAGGTCCGTCCCCGGGTTCACGTACCACTCCTTCGCGATGCCGGAGTCGTCAATTTGGAGCCAGTCCTCATGGCCTTGGGAGGCCTTGATCTTGAAAATCCAATGAGAACAGGGGACATCTCCGCACCGGCTTGCGTCCGGGCAACCAAGCGCAATGAACCTCTGCTTTTTGTCGAGCTTGAAGATGTCCATGATGCTCTGAATATTCCATGGAATGGGATGTCGCAGCTCCTTGCGAAGCGCGAGTCCCAAATCTTCAAGGTCCATGTAGCCGTCCTCATCCATCACGTACCCACATCCTTCTGTCCCTCGACCACGGAGGATCTTCGAGATGCACGTCAGGGAGCTGTGGTACTCATTGCTGATTCTCCTGACGGAAGGGTCGTAATCAAAAGAAGGCTGCTTGATGATCTCAAGTCGCTTGGGGCCCTCACCATAGTCAACATACTTCACGCCGTCATGGATGCTATAAACCCAGCAATCGTAGTGGCCCCCAGTCACGTTCCTCCCGTAGGAGTCGAGTGGTACCGGCCTGCTCGTCGCCTCGTCCCTCTGTGCCACCGCAGCCGCCTTTGCACCGGCTTGCGCCGGGCGAACACTTTCGGAAACATCAGCACCGGAAGGCTCACCTGAAGTTGCAAATTCGGCTGGATCGACAGGGGCGAAATCGAGGGGCTGCCGGAACTCCACTTCTTCACGGGTGAAAGGGAGCCCGATCATCTCTGACAATGAAACGCCGCACTTCGTTAGCGTTTCCTTGCAGTACGCGAGAACCTCAACGTTGACTGTGCAATCCTCTTGGTGGCGCACCTCGAGCACATCGATCGGACGCATTGTGCAATCATGCGAACGTGTCAGCTCGGCTACGCTGCCCATTGCGGGGCGCAAGATGGAAAGCATGTACAACATATGATGGGTTCCGCGCATAAACTGGACGGTCTTCGTGATATTGTCGTCACTGAAGCACATATGATACCTGTCCAGCAAATCGATGGTCTCGACGAAGGGTGTAGCATCAACATATACAAACATATTGTTGGGGTCGCCGATGATGTAATCCCGGACTTCCGTCATGAAACGGTCCCAAATCATAGAGAAGCCGTAGAGGTAGCTCTTCGCGCCGGTCATGACTCCAAGGCATGCGCAGCCCTTGCGGGCCGCGAAATCCCTGGTCCAAGCCAGGTGCCGTCTGGTGTCAGCGAGAAGTTGCTCGGCGTCTCCGATGGGGGTGTCGTAAGGATATGTACCAGTGGGCTCGAGGCCGTCCTTCCCAACGAGCTCGTTGCCATTCCAGTAAATCATCGGAATGATGGTGGCTGCTGGGTAGTCGGTACGCACCTCGTCGATGAGGGCGGCCAACCGCTTGCACAGCTGTTGTAAGCCCTTGCCCCAAAGCATTTCAGACCTCCATGCACCGACACGCGCCGGGCGAGAGGCATCCAAACGCTCCGCAAAGTCGTACTTGCGAAGCTTGCGCTTCTTGCCCGAAACCATGGACAGTCCTGAATCAGCGACAGTCACATAGATAAGGAGGTCGCGGTCTGGTACACGTGGGGCCTGCAAAACTTTCAAGTACGGTTCGCTTATGGTTAACAGGGGTGTAAGCAATTGCAGGTAGTGCGGTTGGTCCTGCACCCATGTATGAATAAGCGACTGTGCAGAGGTCGTCTCGAGGAGGCCCTTGACCGTGGCGGCGAGGTTAGCGTCGTATTTGCCGTTCGTGCATACCGAAGTGGTAGCGACATTCTCCATCCATCTCCTCCATGCCGGATCGCAATCCCTCGCGGGATGCGCCATAGCCGTCGCGCTGCTCATTGCGAAGAAGATGCAGCACAATCACTCGAAAGCAACGGCTGCATGGTGGCATGTTCAGAAAATGCATTGTGAACGGCATCGGTGTAAACATACGTGTATCCCTCGGCTTCCTTCAAATGCGTACCACGGCTTTCATCATGCTCGTGAGAACCATCACACTTGAAGTACTCAACCACGGAAATAGTGGGCATATTACTGGCAACGACCCACTGCTTTTTCATAGGTTTTCCATTTCTCCCTTTAATGCCGATTTTGCAACCATGGAATTCGTACTTGTTCATCTTGTACTTAGTCAAGAAACTCCATAGTTCGGGCCATTTCCAATAACGACACGCCTTGGGAAGTTCGAAGGCAACTCTAACGTCATCAGAATAGACATCATTGAGAATGCGTTTGAACCCTCTCAGCAGTGATCGGAATTGCTTGATGTGACCCTCAATCTTGGCAGCACCTTTGGGAGTTTGCTGGTTGACATAACCCCACGGGCATCCTCCAGTGCAAGGCAATGAAACGTAGAACATTATTGCACCCTTAGGATTCTTGCTCCTAAATTCGGCAATTTCATGGACTAACCACTGCCTGCATGTATCAGAGCACCCGTCTTCGGTTTCAGTTACCCGAATGACACGACATCCCTTTGAAGAGTCTCTTGATTCGCCCAACCGTGAGGTCGTCGAACAACAGAACTCAATAAGGAGGCGCTTGGGCTGAGCGTTGCATAGCGCGGCGATCTGCCCCCCCTGATCACTAACTTCTCCGGCCTTGGCGCACGGGGAGAGCAGCAAACTGGTGGCACAGGCTCGCGCCTGGCGATTGGGGGAGATACCGATCAGCTCAAGTGCATGGTGCCACACTGGGGTGCTGTCAAACGCCTTGGTCAAGATGTCTGCAGCTTGGAGGGTAGTGTCAACATTGATTAACTCGAACTGCCTATTCACGAATTGCTCCTGGAGCCATCTGAAGCTAATGCGTTGGGTCCTATCCGTGTGCCTTAGCTTCTGTGAGTGTCCCTGCTGCAGGATAGTGATCGTGGCCTGATTGTCTTCCATCAGCTTAACTTTC